TAAGGCTTTCCAAATCCCTGGTTAGGTTAATTCCTAGGTTGTTTTGTTCATTTTTTATTGATTTGGGAGCTCTTTTAAAGGCATTCCTTTCTTGCTTTTCCTTTTCAGAATAATTTTTGTTAGCACAAAGGAACCCAACTGACTTCTATATAATGTAAAATATTGCTATATTCCACTAGTAATTCCAGCAGTCTTCCTGTGGGCTCTTTAGGTGACGTGATCATATGCAAATAGAGATCATTCTGCTTCTTCCTCTCATCTTTGAACACCTTTTACAATGAAGTAAGAAGAGTAACATGGCTTTTGACCCAGAGCACACCTACCGTTTTGTGATATATTGCAAATCCTCGTCTTTATGCCTATCGTTATGGCCCTATGCACTTTGGAGTGAGCCGTGCTGTCAATGAGTTTAAGAAAAAAACATTGTACAAAAAGGGTCATTGCCTTTGGAATCCCAAGGGGCAGCTCCACTCAGCCCAGCAGCAGCGGTGGGCTTGGTACCTTCTCCTGAGAACCACAGTTTTGCTTCAGGGCTAATTCCGGAGTCCCAGGATGCTTGCTCTTTAGAAATCAGTATGTATCCATAGACAAGGGAAGGAGGGTTCGCTGACTGCACACACTGACACGTTCATGGCCACCCCTGCAGCTGTTCCCCCCACGGCATTCCCCTGAAGGGTCCCTCTGACCCTGGTGCCCTGGCATTTTCTCCATGTCCTCGCACCTCAGGCGTTGATACGATTCAGCAGTACTATCTCTCAGCACCCATCTCCATTCACCTCCCCGACTCCCAACTGTAAGGCCCACAAGCCCGCAGGACCTTAGAAAATCTGGGCTCCCTCAAATTCGTTCTCTTCTTAAGTTCTGTATGGGTGTTTCCCAGCCGCATCTTAAAAGGCTTTGATGAGCAGGTGATCTCAATGTTAGCAGGTTAAGTTCTCCCGACTTGCGTACCTCCCACGCCGCCTTTCCCTGTCTTCTCAGCCGGCGATTCTTCAACTCCTCAGATGCTGCTGGAGTTTGAAGACCTCAAGTGTGAGTTTGTTTACATTCATTGCTCAGTAAGTTAGGCGTTGGGGAAGTAAATGGGAGTATTCATTTACTCTACCATCTTGCTTACCCCCAAATTAATTTTGAATCAACCTTTTAAAAGGTCTTAAAATGCTATCCATTGATAAACATCACTCTAGATTAATAACCTTTTGTTGTTGTTGTTATATTAATAACCTTATATTAATAAGTCTTATGAGCAAAGTTCTGCATGAGCAAGCTGCAAGAGGGAGATAAAGGCCTCCCAGGTGCAGAATTATTCTGAATAACTAGTTTAAGAATTTCATCTTTTAAAGGAAAACCCTCGAAAATTATAAGACCCTTTTCTCTCTTGGTTTCTCATAGCATAAAATATCCCCATCATTGGCACAGTCACAGAAGACAAATAGGTGCATAAACAAACGTGGTGAGAAAAGCTGATGGTGCCCAGCTATCAAAAGATATAGTGCCTGGGGTCTTAAAGGCTTGAAATTAAACAAGTGGCCATCTAGGAGAGAAGCAACAAGCCCACATGGAAGAAGCACACCAGCCTGTGCGATCATGAGGTGTCATTTGGACCCGGTAATAGGCATCAGAAGACCCATAACCAACAAACAAAAAACCGTATCAATGAGAACGAGAGGGGTCAGAGCAGAGACCCAAAACCCATCTGTAGACAATGGGACAGCCCCTGACAGAGGGGCCAAAAGGAAGAGTTGAGTCAACTAGGGTACAGTATAGCACTGATGAAACACAATATTCCTCTGGTTCCTTGAGGCTTCTTCAGCCCCCACTACATCATGAGCCCAGTGCTGCCTTTCACTGCAGCCTAGACTGAAGCATGTACACAGGCACAGATAAGAGATAAGAGCTCATGACACATGGAATCCAAGAACAGGAATGGGAATAGTGCTACCAGAATTACAGGGGGAAGGTGGGGAAGAGGGGAGGAAGGGGGAACCAGTCACAATGACTGACACAAAACCACAACACACCCCCACCTCCCCCACAAACAACAGAAACCATGGGGGAAGGGAGACAGCGGTCGATGTCAGATATGAAAATAATAATTTATCTTTATCAAAGGGTCATGGGTAGGGAGAGGGTAGGGGAAAAAAGAGGAGTTGATACCAAGGGCTCAATAGAAAGTAATTGTCTAGAAAAGAATGATGGCAACATATGTACAAATATGCCTGATACAACTGATGTATGAATAGCTATAAAAGTTGTAAGCGTCCCCAATAAAACGATCTTTCAATAAAACATAAAGCTCTTTTCCTGCTGCTTCTCCACCTTCCTCACAGCTGTTTGGGCTCTCTCCCTTTTTCTCCGGCCTCCGGCCCCACGGGAGCGTGTGCCGTCCCATGAATGCCCGTGTTCTTCACTGTGAAACCGGAAACCGCTTCCATCCTTTATAAAAACTCACGTGGATTACAGACCAGGCTTCACCGTGAATTTCTTTCCTGCGCAAAGCCAAGAATCGAGGTATATCCCATCTGAGGAAACTAAGAGAAATGGAAACTTCTTGCCTCTAAGACTATGCTTGGGAGTCAGCACAGTGTCATACCTGCCATATTTTATTTATTAAAGCACTCATAGAGTTTGCTTAGATTCAAAGAGAGGGAATGCAGACAAGAGCTCTTAATAGAGAAAACATCAAAGAATTAGTACCCATATTTAATTTGCCACATAAAGAAAATAAATAAATAAATAAATAAAATATATCCCCATGGACTGAAGATCTTTTTTTTAAAATCATTTTATTAGGGGCTCATACAACTCTTATCACAATCCATACATACATCAATTGTATAAAGCGCATTTGTACATTTATTGCCCTCATCATTCTCAAAACATTTCCTCTCCACTTAAGCCCCAGGCATTAGGTCCTCATTTTCCCCTCCCTCCCCACTCCCCCCTCCCTCATGAGCCCTTGATAATTTATAAATGATTATTTTGTCATAACTTGCCCTATCCGACGTCTCCCTTCACCCACTTTTCTGTTGTCCGTCCCCCAGGGAGGAGGTCACATATAGTTCCTTGTAATCAGTTCCCTCTTTCCAACCCACTCTCCCTCTACCCTCCCAGTATCGCCACTCACACCACTGGTCCTGTGGGGATCATCCGCCCTGGGCTGCCTGTATTTCCAGTTCCTATCTGTACCAGTGTACATCCTCTGGTCTAGCCAGACTTGCAAGGCAGAATTCAAGTCATGGTAGTGGGAGCGGGGAGGAAACATTTAGGAACTAGAGGAAAGTTGCATTCTTCGTCATTGCTACATTGCACCCTGACTGGCTCACCTCCTCCCCGCGACCCCTTTGCTATGGGATCTTCAGTGGCCAACTAATGGGCTTTGGGTCTGCACTCCGTACTCCCCTCATCATTCACTATGGTTAAGATTTTTTTTTGTTCTGATGATGCCTTATACCTGATCCCTTCGACACCTCGTGGTTGCATAGGCTGGTGTGCTTCTTCCATGTGGGCTTTGCTGCTTCTGAGCTAGATGGCCGCTTGTTTACCTTCAAGCTTGTAAGACCCCAGACGCTATATCTTTTAATAGCTGGGCACCATCAGCTTTCTTCACCACATTTGCTTATTCATCTGCTTTGTCTTTAGCAGTGTGTCGGGAAGGTGAGCATCATAGAATGCCAATTTAATAGAAGAAAGTATTCTTGCATTGACGGAGTACTTGAGTGGAGGCCCAATGTCCTTCTGCTACCTTAATACTAAACTTATAAATATAGGCACATAGATCTATTTCCCCATCCTCATATAAATATATTTGCATAGTACATGTCTTTATCTAGACCTCTATAAATGCCCTTTGCCTCCCAGTTCTTTCCTCTATTTCCCTTGATTCTCCTCCTGTCCCACTATCATGCTCAGTCCCCACCAGGATTTCAGCCCTTCCTCTTTGTTACATTCCCCTTGATCATGCCCTACCAGGTCTCTCATACCCACCTCCCCACCAATTTGGATCGCTTGTTGTTCCCTTGTCCCTGGGTTTGTTAACACCTCTTCCCTTCCCCCCACCTCCTCCTCTCCCATGTCCCCCCGAACTGTTGGTCCTGTTGTTTTCTCCTCCAGATTGTTCATCCAGCCTATTCTTATATCGTGCAATTTTTGGATATTTTTACTTAGCAATTAAAGGCATTATCAAGTACTCTTAATTAAGCCCAAAAGAAAATACCACATTAGCAGAAATGGGAACTAAAACCTTCAAAATGCTAAAAAATTAACCTACATAAATGTCTCACCACCTCTTGGAAAAGAACAACAAAAAGGAAATGTACTACTGGAGAATTTTCCACTCGCTGAGAGTCATCATCTCACTTCTTCAAGCGCATAAACACACTCTGGCCTGTGTGGAAGAAAATACGCTGAGGGGTGTGGCGGGGGAGGGAATGTGTTTTCTGAATCCTTACCTCGGCACCAGAGTAGCTGAAGATCCCCACTACACTAACAGGAACCAGCTTGTTCACACAGCGTCCTAGAGCTTTTCTTCCAAGGGCAAACACAAAAGGAATTTCTTGCTCCCGTGCCATGGCTATGACATTATAGAGAGCCTCATCCAAGCCACCTAAGAAGATCATCATACATCAAGGTTTTAGTCCCTAAATGAAGCTAATCGAACATCCGACAGCTAAAATATGAAACACAGTACAAAATGACTCTAAAATTCCAAACTCAAGCGCACTGCCATTGAATCTATTCCACTCACAGCGACCCTACAGTGCAAACTAGAGCTGGAAAATGAGTCTATAATGGCTTGTTACTCTTAACGATTCCACACATTCTTCTAAATAAACTTATACTACACATGGAACTAAATATTTCACATTTTCTTTCCAAATTCCTTCACAAGTGTTTTTATCTCAACATAGGAGTCAAATTATAATTCAGCAACCATTTACTAAAAAGAAAACGTATTAGAAAAAAAGAAAAATTCAGAATTGTTAAAAGTGGCTCTCTTTTGAATCTCTCAGTTCAACAGTGGGCTATTACAATATAATGAGACAGATTATATGTAATACTGATTTTCTTGTTTATCTCTAATAGAAATGCCTCTTACTAGTCGTACTACGACTCAATGCAATTCTTCCCCCAGAGCTACACACAGTGCATGGCATGGGAAAGCACTCATGGGCCAGCTCACTCAGGAGATTTAGTATGTAACTACCGGCTTCTAAGAGAGAAATCTCTACAACAAGCACCAACACACACTGTGGATGTTTTCCTAATTCATCAGAGCAAAGTAATATAAAAATGTGTAAAGCAGAACTGCAGAGGTAAAGATATGTACTCTTACTAGTTCCTACTCTGTCCATAAGAGGAGGGAGATATTTGATGAACTCAATCTAAATCTTACACAAACGTGAATATTTTCTTTAGCACCCAACCTCAATTATATTCCTTAATTTTCATATTGTAAGATCTACATTTCCTTCTTCATACACAATATTTTGTTTTTACCTAAACCCCACTGAGCAAGACATGGCTTCCACTGTATACAGTGAACCGTTCTAAATATATACCAAAATACTACAAGAGAAAAGAGTTCTTACCTTTTGACTGGATTTTTTCACAGTTGGGAGAAATTATCACACACTTGATCTTGTTTAACTTCATATGCTTGGTCACCTCCCTTAGGCCCATGACCAGTCGCCGCCTTGCTTTCGCTCTTGCAGGGTCCTTCTGGTAAATCCGTTCCTGGAAACTGACCAGCTCTTGGAGAAGCAGAGTCACACATTCATCAATCTCTTTACAGAGAACCTGATTACAATACCTGGAAAGGAAAGCAAAAACAGATCCAAAGTTATTTTCCTGTGACTACGAAATTACTTTAGGAAAAACATTAGACCCAGCAAGAGGTTTTCATAAAATGTGAAGTCTTGATTAAAGCTTCCTAAATCTTTCAGTCAATTCTGAAAAACAGAGAAGTGATTTGGATTGTCAGTTTCTAAATTCCATCAGAATGGCTTTTTACATAAGGGAGAATAACCTCTAGGAAGCATTAACCAAACTCATAATTTATTGAAGTATCAAAATTATTTACAGTAGTAAAAACATGTAATTCCACAGAAGCTTATTTAAGGCCCTCATGCCAAAAACTCATCCTCCAGGTTTGGGTAAATTGTGATCTCTAGGCATTGGCTTACTAGTTTATACAAATAAGGAACTAGCCAAAAGAGCCAATGATCCCTCTAATTGTGAAATTCTATGGTTATAGAAGACGAACTCGATAATTAAACTGAAGTCAAACCCAATGATTACACGGAAGACTTCCTTAGAGGTAAGTCACATGCTTTATGTTGGACCAAACAATAGAATGGGGCTCTTTCTGAGATCATATATGGCTAAACTAAAAGGAGGAAAAAACCCTGAAAACAAGTAAGTGTGAGGCTGCTTTATTTCAGGGGTAAGGAAACTATTCAATTTTACATACTCCCTCATCTCTACTACAAGCAAGCCCTGTAACTGGAAGATTTGGTATAACGCCTAATCTGGAAATAACCAGGCAAGCAAATTTCTACCTCTAAGTTATAAAATTGAAAAAAAATCTATGTCCACGCTTCTTCAGTACAAAAACAAATTTAGTTGGGCACTGTTTTTATGCTTATGAGAAAAATAAGTACAAGTGAAATACAACCTCAGAGGAAACAGAGTAACTGGCCAGATTTAGGAAGCAGAGTAAGTACCATACTTGAAATTTGCAAAATTGAAGTGCTACATTAGAAAAGGCATTTTTCCTTTCCTTCAAGCTGTCCATTTCATACATATGGAACATTCGTCTCCCCACTGCTTCATTTGCTCCACATGTTACTTGACATTCAACTGACTTCAAAGATCCAGACAGGCAGGACTGGCTCAAGAAAAGGGAACAGTCAGTCTGTAGGTTGAAAATTGTATCGACTGTTCTTTCCCCAAGGTGCTTTCATAGGCGCCATCTGTACATGTAAATTAAGACAACTACCTGAATGTCAAATTCCAAAGTCCTTCACAGAAGAACCACTAACTTTAAGGTTATTCACAGAAAATGGTGTCATTTTTGTTATTCCCCTGGCACATAAATTATCTCAATTTTAGAACAGAAAGAAGCATTTTCTCAAAATCAAGTGCATTTTATGTACTAAATCCACTTCATGCAAACAGGGTCTTAGAAACCAATTCATTGGTTAGAGGTCTTTTTGGGGGGGTTTTGAAGCGTGAATAATATGAAGTAGTAAAAACATTTTGGGAGTAAAATTTACTCTGGCACTTTCAGGATTAGGTTTAATAGGCTAAATCTCTAGAGTACACGCACTATCTGACATACAGAGAATACATTTACTGTCAGGTCACTTTCACGTGATCACTGACCATTGAAAAAAAATCCTGTTACCCAAAATATGAAAAATTTCAGCAACTTGAAGATCTTCAGCATTTTGTCTGCTTGACTGAGTAAGTAAGAATAACCGAAACTTAAAACTAGCCAATCTCCCTAACAAGGGATAAAAAAAACCCAAAACTCACTCTCTAAATCTTTTGCTGTGGATTTTGGTGATTGTTGAAGACGCCATTGGGCTGCCTATCCCAGAACTAGCAGGAGAGCCTTGTGACACAGGTGTCATGCAATACGGCGAATTCTGACTTGCTGGAGAGAGTGAAGTATCACTGGGCATGCTCAGTCCAGTATCTGGGGGACACACAGAGAGCGGAGAGAACTTAGAAACTTACAATACTGAAAAACTCCATTACATATCAAAATAACCTAGAATGTCAACTGAGTTAGGCATTTTTCATATCAAAATAAACAATGTTCATAAACTACAAAAATAAAGTCTTATTATCTATTAGAATATATTCCTTAAATAAAAAATCAAACCGTCTGGAAGACGAAAGACCGTACTCTCTAAAGCATAATTTCCTGGGGAATCTGAATTAAAGAACAATGGTATCAACCTCTGAAATTCTTTCCAGCTAAACTCAAGAAATAAAAACTTGTAAATTTAAGTAATTAACTAGCAAAGTTACACATAAATCTTCTTATTTCTGTTATCAAAGTGAAAATTCTTTGCTAACATGATCAATAAACTATAGTCATCATTATCCATAACCATGTAACTGAAGTATACATGGTAGATGTTTATAAGCAATTCTTGAACTAAAGATGGAGACATTTAAATAGGGAATCTTTTTAAAATTTATTTATTTTTAAACCATTTTATTGGGGGCTCGTACAATTCTTATCACAATCCATACATCCATCCATTGTGTCAAACACACATGTACATTTGTTGCCATCATCATTCTCAAAACATTTGCTTTCTACTTGAGCCCTTAATATCGGCAGCTCATTTCCCCTCTCCCTCCCCACTCCCCCTCCCTCAAGAACCCTTCATAATTCATAAATTATTATTTTGTCATATGTTACACTGTCCGACGTCTCCTCCCGCCCTCTTCTCTGTTGTCCATCCCCCACAAGGAGTAGGCTATACATAGATTCTTGTAATCGATTCCCCCTTTCTACCCCACATTCCCTCCACCCTCCAGGCATCGCCACTCTCACCACTGGTACTGAATTCCCTGTGTTTCCAGTTGCTATCTGTACCAATGCATATCCTCTGGTCTAGCCAGATTTGTAAGATAGAATTGGGATCATGATGGGGGGGGGGCATTTAAGAACTAGAGGAAAGTTATATGTTTCATCGTTGCTACCCTGCACCCTGACTGGCTCATTTCCTCCCCACAAACCTTGAGTAAGGGGGTGTCCAGTTGCCTACTGATGGGCTTTGAGTCTCCATTCTGCATTCACCCACATTTACAATGATATGGTTTTTTGTTCTTTGATGCTTGATACCTGATCCCCTCAACAGCTCGTGGTAGGGAATCATATTAAACAGAATTCAGGGTAATCCTACCAATTATGTCATAGTTGAACAATTCTCAGAAGCAAATTCGTTTTGTAAATACAATGGAACTGTTGATTATTCTATGAATAAATAAGGTTGTAATATGTTACCAAAACTCTAGGAACAATTACATATACCAGCAGAAAAGAAACTTCAGCTAGATCTCTCAATTAGCATTTCTTCTTTGATGGTAGTAATACATTTCAGAAGAAATCTGCAAGACTGCTGAGGTGCGCACCAGGCGCATTATGTGCTGGTCCTGAATGACTGACTCACAGGACTCTTAGGGCAGAATAAGCAGTAATTTCATAAAAGGAAGAAAGTAAACGCAAATGAATTATAGTAAAAGATAATCAATTATGATCATTACTATGATAAATAAAAATGAGAAGGAAAAAATAATTTCAGAGGAAAACTGCATTGATGGTAGTCTTTTTAAAAAAAATAATTTTATTGGGGGCTTGTACAACTGTTATCACAATCCACACCTACATCCATTGTGTCAAGCACTTTTGTACATTTGTTTCCCTCATCATTCTCAAAACATTTGCTTTCTACTTGAGTCCTTGGTATCAGCTCCTTATTTTTTCCCCTCCCTCCCCGCTCCCCCCATGGTAGTCCTAAAGTTGAGGGTTTACACCAAATTATGGATTAAAGCTTCAAAATATCATAGACTTACTATTTAACATCTGTCCCTCCCCACTTTTTAACGACCTCCCTAAAAGAAGCATCCTCAAAATAAACCAATCTGAAAAATAAAAATTAGATGAAACGTGAAGTACATTCTCCAAATTAGGTGCATAACTAGTAATGAAATATGTAACTGAAGTATTCTGGGACATTCCATGGAAGTAGAGAAAAAAATGCAAGCTCTTACCTTCTTGGGAAACAATCTCCTGAGGCACAGCATCATTAAAGTCTAACTGCACATCGACTGGTTCCTCGGATCCCAAAAGATTGTGGTCCACAGTTAAGCGCCCCTTCTTTTCCTCTCTTTCTTTCAAAATAACCTAAAAGTCATTGTCAGCCTTTAATTGCGAATAACTCTTTAAGCATGCACTGAATGGTTACATGTACTTGATCACGCAGGTACAGTAACGTGGAGCGACTATGAGGATGGCGCAGCCCTGAGCAGTGTTCCGCTCTGTTGTGTGCAGCGTCGCCATAGGTTAGAACCAACACGAAGGCACCTAACAACAGTGATGGCGGCAGCAAAAGATGGGCATGCGGATATTAGCTGACGGTCTGTTTTTCAGAAGTAGAAACTGTCAGCCAAAAGAGTGAATGCAACTTTGGGCACTGTAAGTGGGTGCCTCCAAAATAAAAGGAGGCAATTTTACCTCAAAAGACTCTAGATTCCAAACCAAATCTGCTAAGTTCATTGAATGACTGAGTGATTTCAATTATTCTCTTTGTGACTACTGAGACCAAATGGTTAACATTTATTGACTCAAAAGCAAAAGTAAAAAGGCAAGAGGGGAAGGGAAGCTAGATCAATGAAAAGAGAACAAACAGAAAGGAAATAATACTGACACAGTGTAAAAATTGTACTGGTGGTGTGGAACAATTTGTATAAAGCGCTTGGGTCTCAGGCAAATACAAAAGCGTAATGCTAAGGAACACTACTCTTAGTAGCAAGTTGCAAAAATAAATATTCCTCAAATTTTAGATTTGTCAATGAGTAAAATGGTGATTTCAAAACAGATGATTATTTCTCTGCTTAAAAAGAAAACATCCCTAGCAATCAAATAACAGTAATACATATGAAAAGACTTTATAGTTTTTAATGCTTGCTCAAAAACTTCCTAGTAAGGTGGGGACTCGATGGAAGTGTTACCAATCTCCCTGGTGGCTTGGCTTTCTTCAGAAAGAGGCAGCCAATCAGCGCTTGTACATCTAGCAAGGGAAACCAAAGGCACTGCCGAGCAAGCCATGAACGTCCTGTCAAAATGCCACTGCAAGGTTTATCCAACACAAAGACCAATGTTCACACAGTTGCAACCGTGGCTTCCCTACAATTTCCAACCTAGTAGTCAATGTTCTAGAAAAGAAACTTAAGAAATTCTGAGATTCTCCTTAATGGCACTGTTGCTCCAGCTGGCGCTGAAACGTTACATAAAGCAAATTGCTTCTTGATGCAAAAAGTGCTGAGCAGCGCAGCAGCATCCCTTTCTGGGTTTACGGCCTTCACAGCTCCCTTCTCCGTAAGACAAATGGATTCTTAGAGGGTTGTTTTGTTCTGAACAAGCCTGATGCTAAAATAAAGCCATTTTTCTATTTGGTTGCTCTTGTTGGGTGCTAGTTCACAAATGAATATATTTGGGGGTGTGGTGATCAAAGTGGAGTTATTTTTGATGTATGAGGGGGCTTCAGAAAGTTCATAGAAAAAGTCCATTATATGTTAGCTCAATTTTTCAAAACTTTTTGAAGCCTTATAAATGTTTCCTACTTGGGAAAAAGTTGTGGTATCCTGGTTATCAATATTAAAATACTGACTAAACAGATGATTGGCCTCTAGCTTAAAAAGAAAAATAGCACACACACACACACACACACACACACACACAGGAAGAAAAATACCTGAGGAGCATACTAGCTTCCCCTTCAAATTATGGATAATTTGTATTATCCATAAGGTTTTAAAAACAGAGGACACAGAGCTATATTTGATATCCACTTCCCAATTTACAATAATTTGAACCGGGTCTATCTCATTCTGATCCTAAAGCTATTGCAGGAGGGTAGATAGTACGCCACACCTCTGGCTGAGGAGGTAAAACTCGCCTCCTCCGGTACCCTGGACATGTCAGGAGAGACAATCCCTGCAGGCCATCGGGCTGGTAAGTGGAGGTCTCACTGCAAAGGAGAAAGTTACCCCAGTAAGAGGGATTGACAAGGGGCTACAACACTGGGCTGAATCCTAAGAATTGCAGGGATGGTGCAGGACCAGGCGAGGTTTCACTCTGCTGGGCATGTGTGGGAACCGGCTCCACAGCACCTACCAAGACAGCTGCGGCAGGTGAGACAAACAGAAAGAAGGTGTGCCTACAGCTTCGCACCAGGCAGCGAAATCAGTACTAGAATCCAGAGCTTCAGGCTCTTTCTTAGCCCTTAATGTATTTTTGGATGCTAAATGTTTTAAAGTTTGGTGTTTTTTTCCCCTAAAACTTATAGAAATAATTCATGCTTCTGAGCCATATTCCAACAAGACAGATGCAGTGCTACTGACACCCCCAAACTCAAATTAACAAGTAAGATGCATGCATATCTAAGGAAGGCTGCACAGTAATTTGCTAGTTAAAAGAACAAAGCCACTTTTGTAAAACAAATTTAAACCTTTACAGTATTCTGTAAAATAACAACCCTACATTTTACCTTTTTAAGTGCTGTAGGTCGTTTTAGTTTTGCAATTTCCTTCTCTTTTCCTTTTTTTGCTTTGGAAGAAGCAAAATCCACAGAACTTAAGGAGGTTAAACAGGATTGACTTTTGGTCGGCGGTTTTCTGCTTGGAGAGTCTCTCCTGTGAAAAGCAGCTGTGGCCACTAGAGTGAAGCAGGAACATAGTTGGACTATTACAGCGAGTCCACAGTTTCAGTTTCCAATGACAAGTCTAAAAAAACAGAACTGCTTCCCATGGAAAAAAATAGAAATCATCATAGTGGGAGCAAGTATATGGACCCAGATACACAGCACAAGAGAAAGACCAACCAGTGAACTTGGTTTAGCAGCCTAAAGCGGCAGTGTGTGCGTATTTCTGCCCCACGACAACACTCGGCACGGCAAATCTTGGCCACGAAGACTGTGACATAACCTTCGGTCAGAACTTGCTGCCCTTCATTATTATTTAACAATTATTTTACACCTGGTAAACTAATTCTCCAAATGACTACCCACGGTCCTGGCACATTCCTCCCTTTTTATCTCAACTCTCAACGAACTCTAGCCGAGATGCTACCCATACAAACTTACCAACCGCCTGAGAGGTGACAGAGCAGGCGTCCATATCCCTACTCCTGCCCAAAGCTCCACAACCACCCCTCCCCTGCTCTAACTCCATCTCAGTACCTGCTTTTTTTAAAAAGTAATTTAAAACATTTTTTTGTGGGATCATCACAATCCATCCATCCATCCATCCATTGTGTCAAGCACCTTTGTACATTTGTTGCCATCACCATTGTCAAAACATTTTCTACTTGAGCCCTTGGTATCAGCTCCTCATTTCACCCCTTCCCCACCGAACCCTTGATTTATCTATCCTGGATTCCATTTCCAGCTCTTATCTGTACCCAAGTACATGCTCTGGAGTAGCAGATTTGTAAAGTAGAACTGGAATCATGATAGTGGCGGGGAGGGGGTCGGAGCATTAAAGAACTAGAGGAAAGTTTTATGTTTCTTTGCACTGCACCCTGACTGGCTCGTCTCCTCCCCGCGACCCTTCTGTAAGGGGATGTCCAGTTGTCTACAGATGGGCTTTGGGTCTCCACTCCACACTCCCCCTCATTCACAATGATGTGGTTTTTTTGTTCTGGGTCTTTGATGCCCGATACCTGATCCCATTGACACCTCATGATCACACAGGCTGATGTGCTTTTTCCATGTGGACTTAGTTGCTTCTCAGCTAGATGGCCACTTGTTTATCTCCAAGTCTTTAAGACCCCAGGTGCTATATCTTTTGATAGCTGGGCACCATTAGCTTCCTTCACATTTGCTTATGCATCCATTTT